TATGATCGACTTTATGATAGGATACCACTAGGTTTTCCCATACATATAGCTATTTTTAAGGTCTTCAACGCATACCAATCAAGCTTATGTAATGTATGATATCAGTCATCATCACGAGTCGTCCTAACAACCGATATAAGTTAGTGGCAAGAAAACCAAACCTGGCTGGCTCATAATCGAAACCGTAGATCCACCTACCCTTCGACACCTACACCTTGATAAATGGCACAGAGCACACTTTATTCACCGGCTCGTCTCTATTCATGTTCGCTCCTTCCAATTCATATCTCATTCTCTTGGGCAGAGGCCCTTTATTCTTGAACTTGCCCAGACCGTATATCTTGCCATGTTCGATCCTCCGCTACCAGTGGCCAGCCTGCCAAATATCTGCTCGTGGTACGCCTTCCAGCTCAGCATCTCGCCTCCAACTCCGCTTTCACCAGCATGTTCGGTCCAGGCCAGGCACATCTTGCCTAACTCTGACTCATACGCAGCCTCGGCCCAGCTACCGTCAGCTATGCGCATCACTCGGTTCTCAGCCAAGCTCGAACGCAAGGCTAAGTTCTCAGCCACACTCGTTTTAGGCCTAAAATCGCCCCTTCCACTCAGATTGTGCAAACATAGTCGCTGCGCTACTGAGTCATAGTTTGACAAAACTTGACCGTTCCACTTCATCGTCATCTTGGCCTCTAACAGCTTGGCCTTGGGTAACAGCTTGGCCTTGGGTAACAGCTTGGCCTTGGGTAACAGCTTGGCCTTGGGTAACAACTTGGCCTTGGTTAACAGCTTGAACTCTCCGAAGCATCTTTCAGCATTGATTGCAAAGCGTAGTCCAACCTGAATTATTCAGGCATATTCTAACGTATTCGCCAGTCGTTCTTAGAGGATACATACTCCTGCTGCAGGAGTCCTGCATACAATCGACTCTCGACACGCAACAACGTTGTAACTCACAAACAACAACATACATCTTAACATGCTCATTGATAGACATATGACGATATCGATCAAATAACAGAAGAGGATTATGAACACTAAAAGGCTCCATAACATCATTCCCCGACGATTCCGACACCACCCTTGAACCTGACGTAGAATTCCTCAGCAGTGAAAACCTAGGTAAAATGGAAAAAGGGCTGTTAAGAGCTCATGATCATCCAAGGGGTCATCCAGTATCCAGCTATGTGAAAGCGCCAGAGTAGGAGAATATCCGCATGGTGACCATGCCATGGTTAACTACACGTGTTGGTGACAGTATGCAAATTGCGGGGAGATTTCGAGTGATTCTTATTGGTTTTCGTACACTCCTACTCCAAGTCATGTGTTAACTTCTATAATTAGTGAAGAAACTCAACTGACGAAAGCTAAAATACATTCCAAAACTGCAAAGTGTGCAATACAATCGTCAGTGGTAGACCGGACGAGTATCTAACAACCTCATTGATGACAAAGAGCACAACTCAAGATCAGCGGGCTAACCATAGAAGGTTTTAGAATGCTTCGAAAGCTCACCTTTAGCTGGTCGACTGCCTTCGATCCCTCTTGTTGCCATGGCTCTTTGATCCTCTCAGATCTGACTCGGGAACTGAAATATCTTGATATCAATTCCATGCGCCTCAAGGAGCAGAACTGCTACCAGAAACGCTCCGTTCAAGACGGTGAAACCCGTCAACGAATTCAAAATCATCATCGTCCCTGAACGCAGAGAAATAAACTCAACTGAGATTAGCAAAGTTTCTCAGAGATGCTCGATAGCAACTTCAAAATTACACTTTCAATGTCAAAACCGAGTTAGGATGATTACTTTTTTCTTCTATTTAGGAAATTGCCGATTTTCCTCTTGAATTCGTACCCTCTACCTGAAATGCCACATGTATGAGACCCAACATAGTGCTACGACTCGACTGCTGTCAAGCCAGACGAAAAAGCAGTATCCCTATCTGGCTTTCAGAGTCGATTCCTATCAGTGTGGTAAAGTATGCACATTGTCAACTACATATGTTGGTGTCAAAATAAAAATTGTGAGGAAATTTTGGGAAATATTTAAATACTTTCTACTCGGATTCGTATATGGACTCCTATAATTAGTGAGGAAACTCTAAAGCGCCATCGAGGAAATCAAACGCATATATTGAATATATGTGGGTTGAACCTGTCTCATACGTGTCTCATACGTGCGGCACGTAATATATTATATTCCCACACTGATTCCTATAGGCCATAGGAATAGCAACGCTTGTGATAAATTACTCACCTATTCTCTTCTTAGTGTTTTCATCCGCATCTAGGAACTCGTAATCCGAATACCTAAGAAAGTGCGATGAAACTGTAAAGCATTCGCAGTCCTACTCGCCACTGCTATGACGAGAACCCTCCGTAGAGAGCGAACGTTCTGAAACAGGTTGACGAATTCTCTTGTGGTACATTCGGGTTACACAAGTTCGGGAATCGGTAATACGATCTATACCGTCATTCACAGTCTGAGTTTCCTCCTCCTCCTGCGCGAGATCCTTGCTCTGTTCTTCCGTCTGAGTTTCAGAATCTACAAATCGATACAGATTCGGTAAAGAAGTTTCAACTATGATCTTTCGATAGCTTTTCAGTTCACAGAATTTAGGTCTGTTCACATTGTGAACAGACCAATTGTGAACTTCACAAGAATATTCACTGTGAGTCGTCTCAAGTTTAGGGAATGGTTAAAGCAATCGGATGGAAGATGCTCTTTGACGAGCATACGGATCAGACTCACCTAGGTTATGTTTCTTTTCCGTCTCATCGTTATCAGAGTTCACATCTACTCCTTGTTCCTCTTTGCCGGCTTTGGCGAAAATTCTGAGGGCGGATCGATGCTTTGATCACGAAGAATTCGTCACAGTCCTCATACGTGGGATTTTTGAAATCTGTTCTTGGCGTTCCATTGAACTGAGGAAGGCTAGGAAGGAATTATAATAATTTTCTCGATGAGGAATTGCAATAATCTGGATATCAAATTTTAAGACAGTTTTCTATCCGAAATTTCATTCTATCAGATATCATTTGATCGTCGATTCCGTCAGCCGTGAGTTTCCGAGATGACTCGAAATCTGTCCAGATGTCGAAAAACCAAATGCCATTTGGTGTACTGTCATTGATATAGAATATGTATAGTGAAATCCGAAATCTTAAATATCATTTTAAGTATTGATAAAGAAATTAAATATCATTAAATGTCGCGATCATTGGAGTTCACTCGTAATATGAAAAACGCTGGTGAA